ACCTGCAAATAAGCCTTGATGACCTTGTAACTAACAGGAGATTCATTCTGAGGTGTTAATGATTAATGCTAAGTCTGGCAGTGTCTGCAGAGTTATGCGGAGGACTTTCAACTGTCCCCCCTCCCCCACCACGCCACCCATCGGCAGCAAACTCCTGCAGTTCAGACGTGACAAGCCTGGAAGCTGTAAACTCTTGGCAGAGTGCTGTCTCTCCTGACATCTTGGTTGGAAGATGCTGTTCTCCCTGATTGAGGGGGACAGCAAGGGAGCATGCCTACACACATTTGATGTCCTCCGTTGACATGGAGCGAAACAGAGCATCTGATGGAAAACATGTTGCCCACAGTTGATAACATCTCATTAGTTCATTGACAGTATTGAGGCTGTCACTGTAAAGTTCTCACTGATAAAAAGACAAAAATTAACAAATTGCAAAGGATGTTCTTTATCACCAGCCAGTGCGCCTCACCATTATGTGCCCACATCTGTCTTTTCAGGCACCTGAATTATTCATGGAGCTAGCAAGCGTTCTTTATGTGTGTGAGGGTGGAAAAATTAGCCCAGGCAAATTCGAGGGCTAAAAGAAGAGATGCTCTGGTTTCCTTTTGTTGGCTCTGTTGAAAGAGGAAATCACTCCCTGAGAAAAGCCTTTAAGAGATGCCCCTAGTAGTAATTTCTGGAATGGCATGAAGCAGGTTGCTATACAAAGGGAATAAAAACTAGCCAAGCCCCAAAAAAAAAAAAAAAACTAGCCAAGCAAATGGAGTAAGCGGGTCCTAAGGTGAGAGGCCCTGAAGGAAGAGGTGTGTCTTTGCTCTATAAAAGGTGTGTCTTTGCTCAGCCACCACCCAGAGGCAGACTGGACTCAGGCACCCCTTGCATCCAGCAGCTACAGGGCCTTCCTGCTAGTCTCCCCAGTGGAAGTAATGCTAAGAAACTCAGGCTCCTCTGCAATCATCATGAACAGGCAGGGGGCTGCGCAGCACATGGGGGTTTTACCCAAAATGTATAGGACTCCACTCAGCGTATATGGGGGTGCCGGAGGCGGCAACACCCGCATCTCGATGCCCAGACAAGTGGAGAACTATTTGAACATTGTCACTGGCAAGGAGCTGCTCATTGCCAATGAGAAGATGACCATGCAGAACCTAAATGACCGCCTGGCGAGCTACCTAGAGAAAGTGAGTTCCCTGGAGCAGTCCAACTTCGTGCTGGAGAAGCAGATCAAGCAGTGGTACGAGGCACACACCTCCACCTCCAGCAAGGACTACAGCGCCTACTACAAGCAAATCAACGAGCTGCAAGCCCAGGTGAGGCCCCGCGTGGTCCACTCCACTTTCCGCTGAGTGACAGGTCAGGAGGGCGCAGAGCTTAGGTGGGTCCAGGTAGCACTGGAAAGCTAACCGGGCTTGATGCTGCAGCTAGAACATGGGACATAGTCTGTGCTCTATCCTTAAAGCTGGTGTACCCATGTAACACTGTGATTTTGATTTTCTTCCATCTAATTACATACAGCATATGAAATTTTATCCACTGATCTTACCATCTGCATTTTGTCACAGCTTACCTCTAAGGGCTAAGCCCAGTGTAAACACTTATTCTGAAAAGAGCAAAAGTGAATATAGGTGTTATTAAAGCTTCCTTAGTCGCTCACCTAGTTCCCATTAAGTTTTGAAACCCTCGTCAGTCTGGTGATTTTCCAGATGTCATTTATGTATATATACTAATATCTGTATTCAAGTGTTAGGTCATAGATTTCAGTGACAAAGAGACAAGGTAGAAATGGGGGGAGGGGCAGGTCTTCAGGAGAGCTGGGTGTTTAAACGTCCAAGTGGGTAATCCCTGCATCCAGTCCAGAAACTGCTTCCTTGTCATAAAATGTTCTATTGCCCCTAGTTCAAATTGATTGCAATCATATTAAAATCTGATAACCTGGAAAGATCATCTCTGTTTTATCAATTGTGTGGTTTGAAAAAGGAAAAAAAAAAAAAGACTTTGCTCCTACTTGAATACTTCAATATGACTCAGAGTAATCAGTGTGCTTTAAAAATCTTATCTAATCAAGAAGTGTCCCTTTCATTATTTCTATTTCTTTATCTTTATTGAGCTATCATGATTTTACATCCTTGTTCACTGTGTTCATTTCTATTTTTTTTTTCTTTTCAATAGCTTATTTGTCCATCATTTTGTGCATTTTTCCACCTCAGTTGTAATCCCCTTGGGCTTCCCATCACCAAATCACCCGTGTGCCGACACCAAAGTCCAGTGCATTTCCCTCCCCCCACTGTTTTTTTATCTCATTCCCCACTCCACCCCCATAAAATGTCTCTGGCATATACCTGTTCATGATTATTATTATTATTATTTTCTCGCCTCGTCCGCTATACTCCTGCTATGAGTGAAACCATTCAGTATTTTTCCTTTTCTTTCTGGCTTATTTCATTAAGCATGATCTTTTCCAGTTCCATCCATGTTGCTGCAAAAGAAATGTGTTTTTTTTTTTTGGTTGCTGAGTAATATTCCATTGTATATATGTACCACATCTTTTTAATCCAGTCATCCACTTTTGGGAATTTGGGTTGTTTCCATGTCTTTCCAATTGTAAATAAAGCAGCAATAAACATGGGGGTACAGGTATCTTTTTGAATCAGTGTTTTTGTGTCTTTTGGGTAGATACTTAGAAGTGGGATTGCTGGGTCCTATGGAAGCTCCATGTTTAGCTGTTTGAGGAAATTCCACTTTTCCATAGTGGTTGTACTAGTTTGCATTCCCACCAGCTGTGCAGGACAGTTCCTTCTTCTCCACATCCTCGCCAACATTTGTTGTTGCTAGTTGTTTGAAGATGTGCCATTCTCACTGGGATGAGGTGGTGTTTCACTGTGGTTTTAATTTGCATCTCCCTTATTATAAGTGATGTTGAACGTTTTTTCATATGCTTCTTGGCCATCTGCATTTCTTCTTTAGAGAAGTGTCCTTTTAGCTCTTCTGCCCATTTTTTGATGGGATTGTTTATTTTTGTTGAGTTACATCAGTTCGTTGTATATCTTTGTGAGCAATCCTTTATCACTAGTTATGTGTGAGAAAATTTTTTCCCAATCAGTGGGATGTCTGTCTTTGTAATGTAGCTTTTGCTGTACAGAAACTCTTTAACTTGATGTAGTCCCACCTATTTATCCTTGCCTTCACTATCTTTGCATTGGGTGCTCTATCTTTAAAGATGCAGTTGAAGTGTATGTCATGTAGTGTTTGGCCTATCTTTGCTTCCAGGTATTTTATGGTTTCCGTTCTTATGGCTAGGTCTTTAATCCACTTCGAGTTGATTTTTGTGTATGGTGTGAGGTAGTGATCTAGTTTCATTTTTTTGTATGTAGCTTCCCAGTTTTCCCAGCATCATTTGCAAAACAAACTTTCTTTATTCCATTGTATCATTTTACTCCTTTGTCAAAGATTAGCTGTCCATAAACCTATGGGTTTATATCTGGGTTTTCTATCTGAATCCACTGGTCTGTATGTCTGTTCTTGTTCCAGTACCATGCAGTTTTGATTATTATGGCTTTGTAACATGGGATTGTAGCTTGAAGTTTGGGATTGTAATGCCTCCATTCTCTTTCTTCTTAGTCATGACAGTTTTGGCTATTTGAGGTCTTTTGTTTTTCCATATGAATCTCATCAATATTTTTTCTATTTCTTTGAAGAATGTCATTGAGACTTATTGGGATGGTGTTAAATCTGTATCTCGTTTTTGGTAGGATGGCCATTTTGATTATGCTAATTCTCCTGATCCATGAGCAGAGGATGTCTTTCCATTTCATGGTGTCTTAAATTTCTTTTGACAGTGTTTTGTAAATTTCTTTGTAAAGGTCTTTTACCTCTTTTGTTAGGTTGACTCCCAGGTATTTGATTCTTTTGTTTTAACTGAAAAGGGGATGGGATGCTTTTTTTTTTTTTCTGCTTCTTCTGATTGGTTGTTTGTGTATAGGAAGGCCTCTGACTTTTATGTGTTGATTTTATATCCGGCTACCTTGCTAAACTGGTTGATGATTTTGATTAATTTCTCTGTGGAGTTTTTAGGATTTTCCATGTAAATTAACATATCATCTGCAAATATTTAGATTCCTTGTATGTCTTTTTCCTGTCTTACTGCTCTGCCTAGAGCTTCCAATGTTATGTTGAAGAGCAGTGGCGATAGTGGACACCCTTATCTTGTTCCTGATCTCAAAGGACAGGCTTTCAGCTTTTCTCCATTGAGGATAATATTTGCTGTGGGTTTGTCATATACGGCTTTTATCATGTTCCTTCTATTCCAAGGATTTCGAGGGCCTTAAACATAAATGTTCATTTCTATTTTAATGGTCATAGCAAACAAAGATCATCAGTCTCTTAAACTGTGTCATCTTAGACATCGGGGCAATGGGATTGAAATCTAGAAATTCCTTTAAGTTTTCAGGACTGAAGGATACTTGAGGCAGGAGTGTCCAAATTGCTCTCTGCCACCTCTCAGATTTCCACTAAGAATAAAGTCAGTCAACCCTTTTCCCCTTCTGTCTCATGAGTCAAATTTCTGAACCTACTTTGGGTGATCCCTTACACATGGCAAGCCATGCTTCCATAAGAGGGCACAGCCACTGTTTGTTATAGAGACACCATAATGCAGTCTTTCCTACTATGTACTGACCTCTGACCCCTTTGCATTTAGATAGCTCACCATTGGTAGCTGCTTCTAGAATCAAGAGCTTATCTACCCTGGTTGCCCTCATCTCTAACACAACTCCCACCCTCATTCATTGCCCATTCACTCAGCCAGTGGCCATTTGTAGATACAAACAAGGTGCTAGGCAAGAGGAAAAGGGTGGTGAACATGCTTGAGGGGGAAATGGACACAGACAGGCTAGAGGGGGAAGTACTTGGGGCAGGAGGGCTCTGTAGGCATGGGAACACAGGTAGCTCACCCATTCTGTCCTGGGGAAATCAGCAAAGTCTTCCTTGAACCAATGATATCTAAGGGTAGACGTGAAGGAGTCCACCAAGTACAGGGTCTAAGTGGGGAAGTCTAAGGTAGAACAACTCCAAGGCAGGATACTCTAAGATTTCGTAACTCTGTTGAATTAAATTCTGTAGAATTTCAAGAAGGTTGACCTAACCCTGATGACTAGAATTGCATTTTATGACTCTTAATTAAGTCCTCATATCATGATTCTCCCTTTGTATTTTAGAGTGGGAATCCTTAAAATGAACACCATCTGTGACATTATGCTGGTTGTTTCTGAGATAAACTCAATTATTTCTGCTCCTGGCCAGTTGAAAATGTCATTTTCTTCTCATTTGTTTTCCAGATTAAAGAGAACCTGCTGCAAAATACCCGATTATTTCTGAACATTGATAATACTAGGCTGGCTAGTGATGACTTCAAGATGAAGTAAGTTCTCTAATACCATGTATAACTTCTGGAAAAGGATTCTTTTCTGTGGTTCTTCATGACATTCATCTTTCCCTGTGCTTGTTGGTGGAGGAACTGCCAGTAAACATTTTCTGAACCTTGGGGTTGAAGAGTGATTGAAAGCCCACTCAGGTACCCCAAGACAGGAGCTGGACTTCTCTCTCCCCAGTCCTAAGATGGGATGACCCAGTGTGTAACTGAACACCTGTGGTAGCTCCCTCTGTCCTCCTTGTTTAGCTTGGTGGCTGGAACGTTTTTAGTAACCTGGTATCTACCTTTTCACCCTCCGAACTAAGTTCTACCCTTTGAAGTAGTAATTAAGCAGTTACAACTCATCTTCTGAGTAAGTCATGCCTGCTCTTGTGATTCCCCGAGTCATTCATGTCTCTTCAAGGGCCACCAAGTCCCAGGTGTTCTCAATATTTCCTAGCTGGTCAATAATTTATGATATGGTCTGGGCGACCAAAGAACCAGATGATGACTCAGCAGTTCAAATTGTGTCCCCTATCTGTGGTCACATGCCACAAGCATGAGGAAGAGCTCCTCATGAACCGACACTTCCCTATCCTGAATTTGTACAATATGTTGGCACTAAAAAGCCTTTTGTGGCTTAGAAGCTTAATAGTTTATGCTACCAGGGATCAAAAACAAAAGGAAATGGGAAAGTAAAACTGAAAATGAAAGCAATAAAGTAGTATTAATTCAATTAGCATGATTGTCCCATTGCATTATTATTTTTTAAAGTTTACACTTTAATAAAAAAAATGGGCCTATAGAAATTCCCTTTGGATATATCTGTTTACAAAATAATAAGACAAATTATTATGTACATTTCTAAATAAATCTGACAGACCATTATTTAATATTAATAGTGAGAACCCTTTGCTCACAGAGTAATTAAAGAAAAAAATAACTTTTATGTCTAAGATATTCTAGAACTTGGGGACGTCCTAAAATAATTGCAAATTGTTTTCTTACTAATCACTCCAAATCACAGAGATTATATTATCGAGCAATTTATGTGATTGCTAGGTTCTCATGAACATTTTTGGAATATTTAAAGAAAAACACAATGTATCGAAGGCATCTCACATACTACATAAAAATCTGCCTCATGATAGCAAGATGATTTCTATAATGACTTCAGAAGAAATGGTTTATCTCTGCATATTAATTAACTCACAGGTTTGAAACAGAGAGAAGGTTTTGCCTAGTCGTGGAGTCTGACCTTGAACGCCTGCATAAGGTCTTGGATGGTCTAACCCTGGGAAAGACAGACTTGGAGCTGCAAATTGAAGAACTGAGTAAGGACTTGGTTGTCCTCAAAAAAGAACATGAAGAGGTGAGAAAATATTCAGAAGTGGTATTGGAAGGGATGGAATGGCCATAATAATAATAATGGTAACGATAATAAAAATGAAGAGGGGGGTGGAAGAAGAAGACTTGGTGGCTGTGACAGAGATGGTGGCGATGAAGATAAAGATGGCGACGAGAGATGTTGAGCTTCACTTCCTTTGATAAGGTTGCTCTGGGCTTCAAATGACATGGAGCATTTGACAGCAAATGACATGGACCATCAAAAACCTTATTTTTCTCCTCTTCTTTTTACTCATCCCCAAAGACTAACTGTCTATTCTGTTCAGCCTTCTTCAAGAATATGCTTCCAACTAAAATCAACGTGATTCTCTCTCTCGTAGGAAGTGGCTGCTCTCCGCAGGCAGCTGGGCACCACTGTCAATGTGGAGGTGGATGCCACTCCTGGCCAGAACCTCATTGCCATCATAACTGAAATGAGGAAGAAATATGAAGTCATGGCCCAGGAGAGCGTTCAGAAGCTTAAGGACCACTATGATAAACAGGTAACAGTGTCATTCTAGCGGGTAAGCAAATGTGCACATATAGCATCCAAAAAGTGGTGACTTGTACTCTTTCTTTCCTGACTCATTTGTTTTTGTTTTTGTTTTTGTTTTTTTTCATTTTGGGAACTGTAGATTTCCACAGTGCAGGAAGAAGTTTCAGTGAGCACTGGAGGCATTAAAGAAAGCGAGGATCAATTAAGGATGCTGAGACAGAACTACCAGACCCTGGAGATCGACTGTCAGTCTCACCGCAGTGTGGTAAAGCCCCCTGACTCCCAGTCTTCACTGCGGTGGCTCCTGGGTGTTTGTGTTAAGACTCAGGCAATGCAAGACTCCTAAGAAATGGCCCACCCCCCGTGCAGAGCTGGCAGGGAAACAGGCCAAGCAAGTGACTACAAATCAAAGATGTAAAGAAATCCAGTGCAAGGGTAAAGTACAGCAAGGATAGTCAGGGGAAAGAAGTCCTGGAAGACTTCACAGGCAAGTGGCCTTTAAACTAGATCAGACCCTCCCCGGTGGCACAACGGGTTAAAGCACAGCACCAGGAAGCTGGTCGCAGCCGCTTCAGCGGAAATTGGATCCCCAGCAGGGGAGCTGACCCACATGGCCCAGCAGACTTCTCCTTTCCCACCCGCAACTCCCCTCAGCAGTGTATTTTAGTCAGTCGGCCTGTTCTGCTCCCCACTCTGTCTCTGCTGAATCCTCTCATCACCTGCACCTCTGGCCTGTACCCAAGTCCTGTGTGCAGAAATAAATAAATCTTAAAAAAAAAAAAACTAAGAAGTAAACTAGATCAGAAAAACTGAAATGAATTTTTAGGCTGGAGGACAGGGGTAAAGGCATTCCAGGCTAAACAAATCTACCAGCTTAGGGTCAACAGCCCTCGGTCACAGGGGCATTTACCAATATTCCATTCGCTGTGGGTTAGCTACCACTCGTGAGTCTTCACAACACTCCCGCCCCAGGGGCAAGGATTAAGGAGTAGACCCCAAGGGGGCTTGGTGATGGTGTGAGAGCAGGGAAAGAACAGTGTCTGGAGCTTGCACTAGCTGTGTGAGAAGGTGTCCTTCAGTCTCCCAGAGAAAGTCACATGACCACACCTGGTGTCAATGAAATCTTGTGGGGGGAGGAAGTGCAAGTTGAGCACCATGGGCAGTGCCGGGCACAGAATGCCAAGTGAGTGCAAGCCCAGAGCAGACCCAGAATCCCCGGTGCTGGTGGGCTTAGCAGACTGCCTTTGATTAGCTAGATGGGGGAGAGGGGGGAGAGCTAGCATGTGTGAGGCCCACAGTGACTAGCTGCAGAAATTCTCCTCAAAAGAAATGAAAAGGAAGCCACCCCTAAATCAAGTCCTCCACTGAGAAACACCCACTTTTTCTTGTGTTCACAGAAAGAATCTTTGGAACGTACACTAGAGGAGACCAAAGCTCGCTACTTTAACAGGTTGGCCAGAATAAAAGAGGAGCTAAGCTCCCTAAAGAGCCAGCTGAAGACCATCCGGGATGAGGCAGAACACCACACGACAGAGTATAACGTTCTCCTTGACTTAAAGATGCGGCTGGAGCAGGAAATCGCCACTTACCGCCGCCTTCTGGAAGGGGAAGATATGTAAGGTTCTCAGAGTGGGGGCGGGGACCCTGTCTGCTGCACCGCCTCACTGGCTGCGCTCCAAACCCTGTCACTCACTGCACCAGCGAGAACCCAGCACCAGTGTGGAGCCCAGCACCATATAACCCCTGGCACACACATCACAATACACATACCACAGCACAACAAACATAAACCCAAAAGTGCACACCCTCCAACCCCATCAAGTACAACCTTTACATCTGAGGTTGTCCTGGGAGAAGATGGTTATATGGGTGATACATATCATACTTATGTAAATGTTTGTGATTAATGCATAATTAAAAGCACAGTCAGTCACTGTTTAGAATTTTTCATTAAGAGGTTAGGAATCAAAAAACAGTCCCCCGGCCCTCCCTGGTGGCGCAGCGGGTTAAAGCACAGCACTGAGAAGCTAAAGCCACTTCCGCATGAGTTCGATTCCTGCCTGCCCCGGAGGTGACCATATGGCGAGGCAGACCTCTCCTGACCCGCCTGCTGCTCCCCTCAGCAGTGTACTTCGTTGATCTGCCTGTTCTGCTCCCTGCTCTGTCTCTGGTGAAGTCTCTAGCCGCCCCTGAGCCTCTGGCCTGTACCCCAGTTCTGTATCCACAAATAAATTTAAAAAAAAAAACAGTCCCCCAAGGGCCGTGTGGGTCACTTGAAGGATCCCAGGCATTGCAACAGTGACTCTCTTTAAATCCTGCACCCAGGAACCTCAGCAAGAGATTTAAACTTCCACTGCAATTTTTGTTTTTTTAATAACTAAAAGTAGCAGCAGTTGCTTTGCAGGTCACTTGTGAAGCTACCTGTATTTCAGGGTAAAAAATCAGACACTCAACCTTTTTCTTTTTTCTTTTTTCTTTTTCTGTTTCTAAAAAATAAAACAGAGATGCAACTGTGGCGTTAACAGCCCTGGAAAACAAAGGTAAGTGCTTTAACATTCATGCATTTTTCTCTAAGACTAAACTGTCATTCAACTTACCACTTACTGCCACTGGTGGAAATAAGGAGAGGTGAGTCTGTAGGTGAGCAGATACCACCCCCACCCTGGGGTTCTGGGCACACCCCATAAAGACCCTTCCTGTCCTGGAGGCTGGGCAACTCTCTCACCTGGTGTCCTGGCTGTCCCAAGGCATCCTGAGAGCCTGAGGAAAACCAGGAAGAAAATGAGCATTTTGTTACACTCACTAGCGCCTGTTTCCGTCAGGGGGTGGGAAAGGCAGCTAATTTGTACACTGGGGGCCAGTGACACATTTTCTTCTTCATATATGAATCCCATGGACTTAGGACATTTAAGGAGAACAGGTTCAATGTTTTTCTGAAAGAAGGAATTAGATGCAAAATACTGATTTTGAGCTGAATACGATAAGCCAACAGTTATGTGGCTGAATTAGCATTTTTTATGTTCCCATCTAAATTCAGAAACGAAGGTAACCAAGAAGATTAAGATGGTCATGGAAGAAATGGTGGATGGCAAGGTTGTGTCGTCTCAAGTCAAAGAAATGGAAGAAAACATCTAAACAGTTGCCCCCCAGACTCTGCCGAGGTTATGAAAGAACTGAAGCTATAACTTTTTGTTCCTGGCAAAAAGGAGGCATCAGAAAGTGCTGAGAATGCTTTGTAGTGTTTAGAAGGGGAGAAAGTCCACTTACCAGCATTTGCATGTGTTTTTCTCAGAGGAAGCTCACTGGCCTGAAAACAGATACCCACAACGCCCCAGACCCTCAAAACCCCCTTACTGTCCTCTCCACCGTGAAGCATGGTGCTTACTGGCTCCAGGTTAAGGCTCCTGAAAATTATAGCACATTTCAGTTTACTAAACCTCTCAAGAAGAGTCCATGAAAATCGCAAATTTTCCCATTTCTCTCATTTTTCCCGCCCCTGCACTTTATTCTTTCAGGCCCCTGGTTTCTCACCTGAGCTGATTACCTGGTTCATTTCATGTTCTTTTGGCACAGTTCTGCTAGCTTTGAGTGGAATTTGCTCTTTTGCATTGTCTATGCTTTTTTTAAAAAAAAAAAATCTACTCAGTTCTTGTAATAAATGCTAAATCTAACCCTAAATACTAAGCCAAACAATAATAAAACACACTGTGCCTGAAATAGTACATTCAAAGCAAAATCACTAACACCCTCCTTGTGGCCTAATGCCTCTCAATGTGATAATAAATCATACACAGATCACTGACTGCTTTCTTTTTTATGTGGTGAATGGTTGTTGCGAATGTCTCTTACCACTTGTGAATAACTTGAGAAGAGCGAATCCTTACAGCATAAAATTCGTCCTGTGCACACAGGATTGCACAGCCATCACCATTACATCACAGATGACCCTAATACCCCTCCAAAAAGAAACTCCGTTAGTAGTCGCCACCCTCGTCCCTCCCCCCAGCCACTAGGAGCCGCTAATCTATTTCCTCTATGTTTGCCCAATCTAGACATTTACATAAGTGGAATCGTAAATGTGTTCTTTTGTAAGTGGTCCTGAAAGCACATCCCATAATAGCCCCAAAGCGCAAACAACCCAAAGGTCCATGGACAAACAAAATGTGGTACACCCATATACTGGAATGCTACTGTGCGAGGAAAAAGGAGAGAAGAGACTGTGCATCTGATTAACAAAACCCCACAGAAGTGGAGGTTTAAATTCACTAGGCAAGGCATTGTCATAAAGTGATTGCAATGCTTCATTAAAAGAGTGGGAATTGTTATTTTTATATCAAAGCCCCATCATAAAAATGAAGATCAATCCTTGTTTCTCAGGCTACCTTTAGTTTTCTCTTCCAGGAGACCGGAGGTGAGTGGCCCCTATACATGCAAGCAGGGAGCTTTGCCTCTGGCTCTTCTACTAAGAGATAAAAAAATTCAACAAGTACTTATTGATTTGGCACAAGACACTGGACAAACAGACTAGCAATTGAAGTAGAATTGATTGTCTTGGCTTGATTGAAATGCTTGATTTAATTTCCCAAAACAATCAAGTCATGTTGACATAATTCAAGTTATAGAACCACCAGAGGCTTACACATATGATCGCTGCTGTTGAAGAAAAATGTCCTAAAACCATCCCATTACTGTTCAGTCTTGAGAGCAAATAAAATATCAAAGAAGAGAGTGCAATGAGAGCTTCATTAAAAAAAAAAAAACAATACATGGGCTACAATTCTTTGAAGCACACCGCAAAACTTTCACACAAGTTTTAAAAGCTTAACAACTCACAGTCTGTTCTCGATCACAAACTACCCTTTTTCACAGCCTTCAACTGAAAGGACCTCCCGCCCACCCCAGGGCCAGGGCCAGGGCCAGCAGGCCACTCGGGGCATGTCCACGTCTACTTCCCGCGTGGGAAGTGGCTCCTCTAAAGTTGAGGTAGCGAGGCGCTTCTCTGCTGCTCCCGGGTTCGGGTCTTGCTCTGGCTTCAGGGTTTGGAAGTCCTTCTGCAGAGAGGCCTGGCAACGGGATTTGGGGGCGCTCAGCAGGGGACCCCCCCTAGTGCCTCTCCGGCAACGCTGGAGGCCTTCTTTCTGGTTGGGGAAAGGAAGCCATGCGACATCTGAATGGCAGGTTAGCTTCCACCTGGGTAAGCTTCTAGAAGCAAGCACTGAGCTAGAAAACAAAATCCTGGGCTGGTGTAAAATACCAGGATCTGGAGACCTTGGGCCACAGGGTGATTACAGGAAATATTATGTGTTGATGGAAAACCTCAGGGGTAAGTTAAGAATCTTGGTATTTTAGGTCTATGTTTTTGTTCCTATAAAATTTACAGTCACAACCCGCAGGGATTACAATTGAGATGGAAAAAAAAATGTACAAAATTATGTAAAAATAAACTGTTATAAAAAAAATTTACAGTCACAATCCCCAAAAACACTCTGATATGTTTGAATTCAACTGTATCTGGAACAACTTCTTGTCTCTAGAAATTGGGTTTCACTTTTCTGTTTACTGTACAGAGACTATATATAGTTCCATGACCTGCTGGAGGAAATGAGTGTCTCAATTTTCAAGTGATGTTTTATGAATATATTTTCTTTCTAAAATGTTTAACTGCATTAACTCTTTATAAAATAAGTTCCCTGTCAAAAACGGCTGCATAACACCAGTCTCCCACTCGTCTCCATGGCCACGTGTATGTCTGCCTGGGTCTTGCCAGGTCATTTCTTCCAGTACTGGGGATGCAACTGGCTGCCGAGGACTTGGGAATGAAGTGAGCTTGATGAGAGAAAAGTGGCCTCCTGTCTTCTCTTCCTTCCTGTTTCCCTGCCTTCGTGGATGTAAATATTTTCCCCCTTCTGCAGGCCACTGCTCAATCTTTGAGTGTTTTGGTAAAGACACACTAGGTATTCTAGGAAGTAATTATACTCAAACACAATTCAGGCCTGTAATTCTAAGTCTCTGACTCCTGGGGCTATGGATCACCAGATTTGTAACTGGCTATTGACTCATCATTGACTCATAATGAAACCTTGTAATTCCACCTATGGCCTAATCCTCAACCTTTGGAGTGTCAAAATAAATTAACAACTTTTTGCCTGGGAGTTAAATGAAATAACCCTTTCCTGGATGATACATAACATGAGAAGCCTAAACCGGGCATTGCTTCTTCTCTTAGTCCCCTCCCCCTTTCCCATGCGCTACCCTCCCAGCCAGGGAGAAACAGGAAGGTCCTTTCTGTTCCGCAAGATTTCGGTCCTGGATGCTGCTGAAGCAATGAGCCTGAACCTGTGAAATCTTGGTTAAAGCTACTGTAGAAGCATCAGTGTCTGAACTCAAATCATGAAGGAGAAAGTTCAGCAAGAAAGGTTAATTACTATTCTATTTTCAACTGCTTTTCAGGGTTCCTTCCACACAAAGGCAGCTCCCATTCATCACCAGGGAGCCGCACACAGGGGGGTGCCTCCTGGTATTTGGGGCCTGAGGTGCATTGCTAGAAGACAAGAATCCCCCATCATTTTTTTTTTTTTTTACTTCTCTCCACTGAACAGTAAACGATCCTAAGGGAAAGGAAAGGGGAAAGTTCCCAAATAAGACAGCAGTATCTGCAGCTCTCGCACCTGCCAGTGACAGTGCCCGCGCCACTCACAAACTTTCCCCTTAGCAAAGCGCGGCGACAGCTCTCCGTGGTCCATGCAGGTGCCTCTCTTTGCCCTTCTCTGTCTCCTAAAAAACCTGCCCTTTTAAAATGCGAAAGGAAAAAAAATGCAGCAGCAACATACCCGGCAGTGCCTTTGCTTTTTAGCTGATGCTAAACCGGCCCGGCAATGTCAGGCCGGTTCGCGCGCACAGGTCGGTGCCGGAGATCGCTTGGTCGGTGGTTTCCAGAAATGAGCACGAGCGGGCCTTGCGCACGCGCACGGAGTTCTGACACCCACGGCTGGACGGGCTGACCCTAGCCACGGCCGACCTGGAGCTGCAGCTCGAGGGCCCGGAGGAGCTTGCGCACCTGAGGAAGAGCCACGAGCAGGTCGGCCAGAAAAGGCAGCTCTCCTCGCTTTCTTCCTCCCAGATGCAAAAATTGCAATGTCCAGCTTGCCAGCCTGGAGTTGGAGCATATGTGAAGGATGCATGACCTCTGCTTAATACCAGTTGTTCTGCATTCTGCACTGTCTGTGTGGTTGTGGAAGAGAAGGGGAAAGCTGAAAAAAGGATGGGTGCCTTCTGATTTGCCGTTTTCGTCATTAGGTAAAGACAGGACATGACATTGTCCTGTTCCTTTTCTCGCATCGCCTTGCATTCCGCCAAGAAATGGTGTTGAGTTCTAGAGCATGCCAGACTGGAAGTCCTGAGACCAGAAGATGTGGTTCCTGCATGCGGAGCTCACAGGAAAGGGCAGATGCAGCGCCCCAGTGGGTGGCCCAGGAAGGAGCTGGGGCAAGAAGCTCCACCCACAGGTGGAAGAAGCAAGCCATTGTTCAGGGGGAAACATGCTTCTCAGTGTCATCGTGAGCAGAGGGGTAACAGGGAAATCAGCTAGGCGGAGGACAGAGAAAGGGAAGAGAGAAAACGAGTGAACAAATATTGCTTTCGTGCCATTTCTCCTATCTGGCCCTGGCAGAGCCCAGGGTGGGGTTTTTAATGGGGTAAATGAGACCCACAAATCAATCACAGATGTCATGTTCTGGGTTGGGTCAGGTGACCAAAGTCTAAGCCTGAGTAGATGTTCAGTCTGTGTTGCCAGATCCAAAACCCTATAAGGAAGCTAAAAGCAGGATTTGGTGATAACAAGCCTGGGCTCTGAAGCCAGGGTGGGTTCAAATCCTCACCCAGCAACTTAATACTAAATAACATCTGTGTCCTTCAGTTCCCTGATCTATAATGGGGGGTGGAGGGAGGGATGGAAGAAGGAAGTATGATTAGTTAAGGAAAGAGGCATAAACGCTAGGAACAGGCTCTAGCACCCAGCAAGTACTCAGTATCTGTGTCCTTTTATTATTTACTGTATAGAACCAAACTGCGGTGGAGAAAGCAGAACTGAGAAGAAGCAAGGAGTGTCCGAGGAAGCAGAAGGGGTAACGGGGCCT